CCAGGGGCCTGGAGGGTAAGCTGCTTCTACCTTGAAAGCTCTGAGACTGCCCAAGTCTCTGCTGTCAATCCCCAGCTCCCAGGAGGGATCTGACCATCGCAAGCAAGATGCTAGATTTTACCCTCTTGGCCACAGCAGGCCAGGGTCACAGTGGCCACAGAGAGATTCAGGAAAGCCCTGCTTCTCTGCAAACCAGCACAATGGCAAATTAGGAAGATCCTCATGGGTGTGAGACATGCCAGCCCCAGTCTCTTGGAAGTTCGTGCCCCCAGGGCATGGGAATGGGGGCATGAACGGAGTGCTCAGTATACCTGGCTGTGCATTCGATATTATACCCATTCCTAGCCTCATAAAAACAGCCAGCTACACTTCTTCCCATCTCTAGATGCGGACACCGTCTTAGGGAGGAGCAGGCTTGGGTCAGACCCCATAGAGTGATCGGCACTGCTGAGAATCAGAGTTTGAGCTGCCTGACCCCAGCCTATGCTCTGCCCAAGAAGCTATCAGGCCTGGCTGGGACACAGAGGGAGACCACTTGGGGAACCTCATGCCTGCCTGGCGGCTCAGCACACCAGGCTTTCCTGGGAGCTCCACTACTGCCAGCTATGTGAGCAACTAAGGAGCCCAGGTGTCATTACCTACTAAAAAAGGGTGATGGCAGTGACTTTGCTGGGCCATCAGGTGGCTCAAGTGAGGCAATACTGGGCCTGGTGCCCAGGAGGCATTCAGCACACAGTAAGTTTGCTAGAGGTAACCAGTGGGACCACCCCTCAGAGCCTGGAGCATTTCTGTGGCCTCCAGGGTCTCATGAGGGTAAGTGGCAGAGCTACCCTCAGCCCCAGCCTGCCTGAGGGTCAGGACCTACTGGCTCCCAGGCTCCCCTGGGGAAGCAGCACCTTTAGTCAACTTAAAGGCTCAGTTTGCTCACCATGAGCAGGCTTAGGAAGAATAATCATCAGGAGGGGCTGCCGGGGGCTCAAGGGAGCCCTAGCCCTACTGGCCAGGTCTATGATGGTGCCAGACAGGCAGCCTTCCCACTGACATCCAGTGTAGGGGACCTGGAGCATCTGCCGCTCCCAGAGGCCCCATCTGACACTTTAATCCTCTGCCACACTGGGGAGGTGGGCAGGCAGGCCCACTCCCCACCAGCTTTCTGAGAGGTGGTTCCTAAGACAGGCCCCTCCTATGTGGGGTGTTTGCCAGCAATGGGCTCCTCAGCTGGAGCAGGGAGATCCTGTAAAACACTCCTTTGGACAGTGGAGTCAAAAATAAGGAGCCAGATGTGGTGGCATGTACCTGTAGTCCCAGATACCCGGGAGGCTGAGGCAGGAGGACCGCTTGAGCCCAAGGGTTCAAGACCAACCTGGGCAATAATACTGAGACCCCATCTCAAGAAAAAAAAAACTAAGAGGAGAGATGCCTTTCCCCACTCTGCCTGTTATTTTAGAGTCCATACGAAAAGGTCACTTGGTAAAAATCCCACTGCTTGGCTGGGTGCAGTGGGTCATGCCTGTAATCCCAGCACTTTGGGAGGCCAAGGTGGGTGGATTGCCTCACCTCAGGAGTTTGAGACCAGCCTGGGCAACATGGTGAAACCCCATCTTTACTAAAAATGCAAAAAATTAGCCAGGTGTGGTAGCATGCACCTGTGGTCCAGCTCCTGGGGAGGCTGAGTTAGGAGCATTGCATGAACCCAGGAGGTGGAGGCTGCAGTGAGCCGAGATTGCACCACTGCACTCTAGCCTGAGTGACACAGCGATACTATCTCCAAAAACGCACTTCAGAGTTTTGGCCCAAGGGGTGGTGGGGAATGTCCTCTGGAAAAGGGACACCGCCCTCCCCGCTGCCTGCAATCCCCAGAACACTCTTAAGTGGACTCTCATAGGCCTCCCCTTGAGAGGTGTGCTGACCCCAGGGGGCTTACCTGTTGCAGTTGAACTGTATGACAAAGTCGGTCGTGACCTGCAAGACCTTGTTAGCTGCAGGTCCACAGAGATGGAGCCCACCTGGTGGGTGAAGATGCCTGACATCTCCAGCCCCTTGGCCTTCATGGCTGGGAGCCAGAACCTGCAGGGAAGAGGGTGTGGAGGGGGTAGGTGGGTGCCTCTTCTCCCAGCCCAAACAGCCCACCTGAGGGTGCTTTTTCTCTCTCCTGCAGGGGCCTCCTAGATCCAGCACCTCCACCTTTACTGCTAGGGGATGACCAGGTGCATATCAGGAAGAGAATAATCCCATGTCCCACCGAGGACACCGCCATGACACGGCTGCCTCTTGGAGCAGCTCGTGGTGGGGAGGCGCTTGGGCGTTCAAGGGCTAACGTGAGTCCTCAGAGGAGAATGGAGGGTTCTCTGGGGAATTGGGGCTGAGGAACGCCATGAGCCTAGGACAGGGCTCGGCCACAGCCTGGACCTTGCGGTCCGTCACCGCCTGTCCTCCCTTGCAGGAGGCAGGGCCGGCCTTCAGCTATAGAAGCTGGTCTAACCAAGGACAGTACCTAAGAGGATCCCTCGCCTGGCAGGTCTTCTGCTCCTTAGCTGCCCTTATCATTCGAGTCGGCTCAAGAACCACCTCCTGGAAGCCTGCTCCCAGGCTCCCTCATCCCAGTGATGTTATGGCAGATAAATATGAGCTTGTATCTGTCTCCCCTGTACCCAGATAGCTCACTGAGGAGAAGGCTCTGTTTTCCTGTTTACCTCCTTGGCTCAGAGCTTGGTGTGAAACCAGTGTTTGGGGAGTGTTTGCTGAGCAAACAGCATGAGTTACAGCCCTGCCTGGGGAAGACATCCACCAGTGACATCCTGTGGACAGCTCACAGGCCCCTTGGGGTCAAAAGGCCCAGACCCTACCAACAGCTTCCAAAAGCACACCCAGTGCCAGAAGCTGCAGAAACATCAGGCACCAGCCCCTGCAGCAGTCACGCAACCCAAGTCCCATCGAGGTCACCTCCTACATCTGCCTCCAGGGCCTCCACTTCTCTTCATCTCCAAAGGCACCACCAGCATCTGAGCTCCCACCAGATGTCCCCAGGTAAGACAGCAGCTACCAGGTGGCACCCCATTTCCACCCTCTCCCCCTTTCCACAGCCGCTGAAGTCATCTTGTGAAATGCAAATCTGATCATGGCACCCTGAGAAACCCCTTCCAACCCTGCAGTGGCCTCCACAGCCTGGTGCCCATCTGCTCCTCAGGCTTGGCTTGCCCCCGCCCCTGGACCTCACACCCGTTGTTCTCTCTGCTTTGAAAGCGCTTTCCCACCCCCATCCTGCTCGGTTAACCCTGAGCACCCTCTGTG